GAAAAGACCTCCAACAAAGTTCCTGCCGCTTCTGCTACATGCCATCACTCGCATTATTGCTGGCAAAATACATTAAAATTAAATATTAAATTTAAGTGCATCATAAACGCAAAACAATGAACCCATCAGACATCAGGACAGCCAGGCCACCGCAGGACAGCTGAGTGGGATGTTACCTGTGCACCAAAAGTGTCGACGCCTCGAAAAAAGAGTCGGGAAAATGTCGGAAACTCCAGCCCCAAAAAGGGGGAAAAAGGAAACCCAAACTTAAGCCAACTGACAATATGTTAAACCCAAATGGTGGCATGAGCTTGGTGACGCCGCGGGCCTGGCCGGGATTACGAGGCATCTGGAAAAAGAAATGGGATGGACACATCGTGGGGTGGGGTGCTGCTGCTACTACTAGAGCGGGGTCCTGCTGCCGCTGCCGCTGCCACTGCACTTGTCGATATCGACGTCAAAGTCTCGTAATGCCAGCACTCGCACTTGTCAGCCTAAAAGATGACAGTGATGGCAATGTGTTATTCCTGCCACGGTGGTGGTGGCTGCCCCTGTTGGTGTGATGCTGTTGCAAAGTGGCGCAGGCCCAGGCCCAGGCCCAGGCCCTGGCGTATTGATGTCGATCAAACCAATACATGTCCATATACATATATTCATGGGAGTATCTGTGAGTGTGCTCCCCCTGTCTGTATCCAACGCAATTGAGGTCATGTCCATGCGGCATTCATTGTCGACATCGGCAATGGCAATGGCGTCGGCGACGTATGCCAAAGCATTAACTCGGTATTTGTTTCAAGCAAGTCCGAGGTGGCGGAATGCTGATGGCCCCCCACCACCACCACCACCCCAACAGTCGACAGATAGCGCAAAAGTTTGGCCCGAGAGTTGCGACATATTGAAAATCATTGCACACACACACACATCCCCAGGAGGAGGGGGAAAAGAAACAGGAGAAGGATCGATTTTGGAGGGGGGATAGAAGCATTAGTTACCCTAGAAGTTCCATAGGAAAAGATGGCGACTCTCCATCGATTTATTACTCATATCGGGGCGAGTGAGCCGGGGGTTGGCGCACGAGGCTTGCCAAAAGAGTTCTCTCATAAAAACGTATCTCTCAAAAGTTCATGTGTCCACCGTATGATATTGTCATCTGATCCTGGTAAATCCGATCTATACCTGTCTTCTCTCATAAAGTCTTGTCTCTGAAAGACCTGTTCATGTGTTAGACATAATATACAGTCATCTGATCAGGGAGACTCCGATTTATAGCTGTCTTTAGCAATTTTGAGGAATATTTTGCATTGAAAAAGATTTTTAAATATATGTACAGATGAGCATATGCTATATAGCCCCTCGTCTGTTAATTCAGATCCCTGATTGACAAATCACTTCGCCAAATCATGCTACCCTTCTGGCAAAAGGGTAGCCCAAAAAAACAAGAGAAGATGCAAAAATGTATGGGAAAGACAAACGGCATTGGCATCAATTTTTATTTGCCTCTCTGTATGTGTGTGTGCTGTCTGTGTGTGTGTGTGATGGCACGAGGAGAACAAAATTTTTATTACATTGAAAATTTGCATAAAATATTTAAGCCAAATGGTCGGTCGATTGTATGGGTTGGCAATGGGAAAACTTCCTTGATGCGATGGCCCTGGCCCCTGGCCTCCTCCGCCTCCACCTCCTTCTCCTTTCGCGTGTGTGGTAGGCTGATGGGTTTTGTTGTTTGAAGATTTGACAGTCAGGCCTTGGAGCGATACACACGGTGGCATACCTACCCATAACTCTTTAAAGTTTGATTACAATTTAAGTTGCGGGGAAATTCTCATAAGCCAGCTCTCAAAAAATAAAGTACAGTCGCCAACAGAAACTTTAAGCTACATCTGAAAAAATCAGACCCGTAAAACTGCCAGAGAAAACTTCAAGGATTCGTTGCACGTTCGCATCTTTAACGCCATATGTTGACTTTTGCCACACACACACACACACACACCCCAGTAACACACATATCCTTTATCTTATATACCCTATTTTATGCCTGCACCACACTCCCCCCACTAGCCGTGCTGTTGTTGCTGTTGTTTGTCGCCTCTTTTGCCAATAGATTGTGCCACCACACTTTGGCATTTTATAACATAAACTTTCATTTGTTTTCTCTCTCTCTCTCTCTGTTTTTTTTGTTAGTGCTTGTAATGCGCTCATGTAGTTGTCTCCCTGCTCCAAGGGTGTCCGTGTGTGTGTGTTTTGGGGCACATATGTTAAGCCACAACACACATAGAAACGAGTCTGATGTCTTGACATCTGTCTACCAGAGAGGACCAGCACCAGCACCAGCACCAGCACCAGGACCAGGACCCATAGCCCAACCGCTTTCGGCTTTGACAATCGTCCAAAAATGTAGATTTGCATGCACATCAGCATTGGGCATACATTTATCTCGCCGACTGTCGCCGACGCCGTAATGCGATGCCAGGCCCAAGGAAAGGACATCAGCAGCAGCGAAAAAAACAGCCTAGAGAGGGCTTTAGTTGGGAGACCAAAAAGGGGACTGGGGATAACTTAAATTGGGAGAAACTTAAAATAGATGAGATTTTTAAGGCTTAAGATAATATTAATAAAGAATTAATGACTAAAAACAGAGGAAGAAAGAGTAAAAATGGTTACAAATTGGACAATATTAATTTATAATTTTAAGGGATATTTCGGGGAACAAACCAAAGGGAATTGCAAATTTACTGGCGGGGAAGATACCTTCGCAATCGATTCGCTGTCTCACCAACCCCCGGCTCACTCGCTCCCGCCGATACCGAAAATACATATATAATATAAAGATAGCGGAGAAATCAGCTGGCTCACTAACCCCCGATATTATACAAAGATAGGGCAGAAATCAGCTGATTAACGTTTTTGTCGAGGCACAACCACTAAAAGTAAGGTTAGGTACTTATTTCAGCAACTTCCCATGCACTTTCCCCAGCAAACAGTTTCATATTGGCTTACTCATGTTTGCAATATACCAAATCTGTCCTTAAAATGAAATATTTCATGTTCAATATTTGCCAATGGAAGATCTTGGCAGGCACTTAACCTTTACGTTGAATATTTGACAGTGCTTTGCATACTGTACTGTACAGTCAATGAAAATCAATGAGAATCAATGAAAATTCATGAAAATGAAATATAAAACAGTTTCGGCTGGAATCAGGCAAAGGTCCTGCACCCACAGAACACCCACGGACATGTCTGTATATCGATTCCCTGCATAAAGTGGGTGTAGGATGTATGTATGTAGGAGGCCCAGTACTTGATTGATTTCCGAGTAAATGCAACAGTTTATTTGCATATTTTGCAGAATGTTTCTTGCACAAACCGAATGGTAAACAGAAGTATATTACTGTACGAAATATGTAAAATATTTAAATTGGCAAAATATCCCATACACAAAATGAAAGGTCAGACCAAATGGGGGAGGGGGTCAAAGGATCAGTGATGGGATGTGCAGAGCTGCAGAAGCCAAACGAATTTTATAGAAAATTTAATAAAATGCAACCCACAAAATACAGAGAGAGCGGGATAGAGGGAAATGCCAATGAATACAAGAAATATACGAATAAATATGCTATTTACTTTTATTGCATTTCAATTTGCTATCAAAGCCAACAGCCAACAGCCAGCAGACAGCCAATGAACATATTGCAAGTTATGGATTTTTTTATAAAAGGATTCCACAACATTTTGCCACAGCTGCTTGGTATTTTATGGTATTTTATATGGAATTTAAAATGCATTCTTCTGCTCAGCATAGCATAGGTACACAGGCACCGCCCGAAGCCAAAACTGAACTAGCTGCCATCTGTCTGTCATCTCTGATTTGTTAGCAATAAGCCTGGCTGGAAGCCAGAGACAAAAGGGTCTCATCATTGCTAGTGCCACTCCACATGCCATAATATAAACATATTCATTACTTATCGTAATACGACCATATGAATCCTATATGAACCTGCTTCGTTTCCTGTTGATTGCCATCTTTATCCTGCCCTCCTGCCCTCCTGCCCTCCTGCCCATCCCTGCATGAACTCCGTTGCACACTCGGTTTATGGGTAACCACTGCGGCACTTGTAATGCAATTGAGTCCCCGACTAAAGAAGAGCTTTAAGGGCTCTGACAGAAAGTTGTTCCGTGTCCCACCACCCTGCCCTCTATATCCTGTGTGGGTGCGTCTCCTATGCAATTCTCATGACAATGCAATGCTGCAGATAATTGCACGTTACAGGGTCCTGCAAGCAACCAGCAGAGCCTGTTCTGTCGTTTCGAAGACAAAATCAAAATCCAACAATATGGCAATAAACGAATTTTCGTTATAACAATGCAGTTGACCATCACAGAACACACACCCCCACCCCCACACCCCCACACATGAATGGCCTCTTCCTCTGTGTGCCCCAAACTGCGTTCAACCACATGCAATTTTGTTTGGGATGCTGATACCCCCAATGGCCAGGGCCAAAAGGAGGTAATGGCCAATGGTCAGTGCTGGCTGGACTTGCTAGCCACAATTTTTTGGGCCGGGTCGGGGGTTGGGTTGGGTTGGGTGGTAAATGTCCCTAGGTGTTGGCCACATGGGAGCGAACCCAAAACGCAGCTATTTGTATTTTGTTACAGGACATGCTGTCAGTGGCTATATCCTTTGCAGCGAGTGGGTCGGAGGGATTTTTATTGAACAAAAATTCATAACTGTAGCCACCCCTCGTTTTTGGGTGACATTTTTTGGAGCAGCGTCCAATGCCGCCTCTGGGCAGGTCTCTGTTCTTCTCTCACTTATTGAATTTTCAGGACTATTTTCGGGAAATATTTTGGCAATGCGATTGTGTGCGGCTGGGGCTAATTTAGCTGCAACGGAGAGTCTTTAGTCTCTCATTTCCGGCACTTGTTTAGTGTGCCGTCGATTGCCTTCAGAGGGGCCTTATCAATTGGCTGGCCAAGTGGTCGTCACCTGTCGCTTCTGGCCTAGTCAGTCTTTGTCAACATGTCGTCGTGGATTGTGTCCACCACAGAGCTGCACGACTCTGGGGCCAATGGTAATACCTACCGATCTGGCGGATCCCGCCACAAACGTATGATCCTAATGGTGTGGCACAGTCTGACGGAGAAATGCGAGAAATTCGGTCAATTTCTGAGGCGAGAGACGAACAAACCGCTGCCGAAAGAGTTGAGGCGATCGCTGCGATTAAGTAAGTCGTCCAAACGCAAAGGCTATCGGTCTTGGGAGAGCGAGGCTGATAAACGGTAAGAACAATATACATATACATATATATGTGGTACACCTGTGCCCCAGATAAGCCACTTGTTATTGTTTTGCTCTGAAGGTTCTCCCTATTTATCAATCTTTTGTTTTCTAGGCTGATGCAAGAGCGCTTGAACGAACCGATTAATATTTCCATACGCATGGGACCGGCCTATGACTTCAGACCCTCGAACTCCTGAATGGAAAGCCCTTTCGAATTTCAGCCAAAAACCACCTCTGTTAACGCTCTGTTAAATTATCATAAGTTCAAAAGTGCAAACCGTTAGCTTTTATTAAAAGTTTCTACTTATTTACACCCAGTTTTTGTACTCACGAACAAAGCTCTTAATCAGCTGTAAGCCGAGAGCTTTTAGCTGCAGTCAAAGCTCTGCTTCTCTTTCGATTATTGACTCTCTTAAGCTTCTACGGCAGTTGGTTCTCTTAAGGGCGCCCACACAAAAGTTTATTGCCCCGCTCACAACAAGTGGACGTGACGGTATACACTTCACTATGGAGTGTATGTTCTTCAGAGGGAAATATGTTAATAAAGGGTTTAGTGTCTCAATTAGCCGGGTTCATAATTATTAAAACATATAAATAAAATTCAAGTAATGTTCATGAAAAACATCATTATTATATTAATAATAAAATAATATATATATCAAATCAAATAAATCATATATCAATCATAATCAAATGGCCTTTATCTTCATTTTTCTAAAATAATCATTTTCTTAAGGTACTTACCTCTGTCCACTCCACCTGCCGGAGAGCATTCACCAGTCGCCAGAGCTTCTACTTTTTTGCTTGCCTTGCACTTATTCACGGCGTTACACTCTCACTCTCTTCGGGACGCGCGTTCGCGCTCTCTCTCTGCCGCACAGTTAGTCGCTCTCTTCCCGTCTGCCGCCATACGTCACAGAAAGCGTTATCTTCCCACTAGAGTGTAAAACGTGTTCCGCGGACGCGGAAATGACATTGATAGTGAAATTTTAGCTTAATTTGTTCGTTATTTTTTGTTTAAACCACAAACATTCACTAAAAAAATAAAACAATAAAAAATACCATAAACAAGAGAACTTTTATTGAAAAACTTTGACTTGCACTAAAACAACCGAAACGAAACGGAACGAAAAACAATAAATAAAATTAACATAAACAAAAGCGAGTGAAGCGTACGTGCAAAATATGAAGCTGATTTCCACATTCGTTTTCTTGGTGGTGGCGTTTTACAAGTTTTTCAAGAAATTTTTGTAAGTTTCCATAATTATCTAATACTTGTGTCCTTTGATGTTGTGGGGTGTGCCCGTGCCCGTGCCCTTGTCCTTTTCTTGAAAAAAATCTGTGACTTATTGACAAAACAACCTCAGCAGCGGGCCGTGCCGTGCAGCAAACAAAAACAACCACACTAGGCTGCAATAAAAGCATTGTGTTTCCCGTTTGTTTGTTGCTTCGTTGCTTTGTTGCTTTTCATAAATCAAATTTCCTTTGTGCAGGTCTCTGCATTTATTCAGCTTTTTCTTTGTTCTTCTTGCAGGGGATTTTCTTTTTTGTTTTTAAATAAATTTTGCTTCAATGCGAGCCTCTTTAGCTGCTGATTAGTGCGAGTGAAAGGGAAGAGAGGGGAAGAGAGCTTTCCCACACTCTCTGGCTGGCTCTCAATCTATCCCCGGCTAATTTTCTCTCCCTCTCTGTCTCTCTTTATTAGCGCCTCGCACGTTTTTTGTTTGGGTTTGAGGCCGCTAGAAAATTGGCTAGAGTCATGGTGCATTTTTCTAGGGTGTGTTGCTCTCCATCTATCTCTTTACATTAAAGCTAATTGGGTAGTGCTTTAGTCACCCCATTTGAACACACCCTGCCCTGCGGCTTGCTATTTGGGTTGGTATTTGGGGGGTTTTCTGCATATAATTTACTCAAGTGCCTGTTTGTTGCTCTTGTTTTACGAGTGACTTTGTGTGAGTGTGTGTGTGTTTGTGGATGAGTGTGTGGTTGACAACAGAAATGGGTTTTTAATTACTCCTACCATAACGGTTCTTTGTGTATATTGATGTACATACATACATATGTACATGTGTGTGTGCGTTTGAGGGCGTTGTGTACTTAATTTGAACAAGCACAAAAGATCCCCACTGATTAAAGAGGGGCTTGCCCTTGTTCAAGAGACCCGAGACCCCATAACTTCATTCGCTATTGTGGGGAATTCCCCGATACAAAAGATCTCAGTTTGTTTGGGGGAAATGGATAATTGACAGATGCCAGATGCTACCCCGGCAGAATTTTCGAGTGTGTTGTGGTCAGGTGAGCATTAATCATACCCTAGCCTACAGTGGTAGAACATGTCCATCTAGGAATCTACAGGGCATGCACGGATACCTGAATAATAATAGTCAACAAACTATTTAACATGCCATTTATCAATTGACCATAATCTAATTTAATAGACTCCATAAATTTCCCATTAAGCTTAGAGATAAATGACGTAAACCCATAAAACCCTCAATAATTATTAACAATATTTTATTTTCATTTAAACTATAATAAATTGTACATTTTAAAATCTTTAGATTCCAAAATCAATCCAACAATCACTTTTCAATCAACATTCTTCATCTGTCAAAATTTTTAGCAGCAAATTGATGAATCTTTAAATCTATCAGGCAAAACAGACAAAGTATGTACTTTAAGTAATCCTTTTCTGTCAACACCCAAAGCAAAAATCCACTTATTCAGCACTCAACATTCATTACCCAACCCAACCTACCCCAAAAGCGACTTAAAGACTTAAGCCGGCAGATCAGCAGTCAACCGAAAACTCGAAACAACCGGAATGACTCAGTTCTAGAACACATGTACATATGAATGGCATACATATGAATGTAAGAGCGTATGTGAATCGAGTCTCATAATCCATTCTGGACAAATACTCGAAATACATAGACTGCTAGAAAAGTCCCACTCTGATAAGAAAAACACTCGGAGGTTATACAAGAAAACAGTTCAAATTTCAACAAAAACAAAAAATATACATATGTACATATATGATTTCTTTTGTACATTATATAGAACGGGCACGCTTACGGTTTGCCGAATTTGATAAGACCCAAAAACCCAGAACGCCTCAAAGTACACGTAAACAAAACAGTAGAATGGCAGACTATAGCTGACTACATCGAAAATCCATTTGAAGTATCATATAATATAAATATATATAAGATAAATAGAAAGCGAACTTTATACCGGCCGCAGGCACTCAAACAAGGCCGTGGTGGGGTCCACTCGAAAAACCATAATCTTATCTCAATGGCCAGACCACTGGGCTGGGGCCGAGAGCAATAAAAATACACATAGAACTAAATAGTTGTAGTGGCCCCTCCAACTGCCCCACCGAACAGCAGTAACCTTGACAATCTCTGGATTCGCTCATAGAACAACGCAAATGCAACCGCTTCAAACTAATTAAAACCAAATACATCCAGGCAACGTCACATTTTTCTGCATTCTCCCAACCAGAGCTTATCAAAGCAGCCTTGCAAATAAATTCACCCTTTGAATCTTTTATAGCCAACATGTGGGCGAAAGAGTTGTGTTCAAAGAACTATTATGAAGTGGCAATTGTGCTCCTGTTATAGCCGATAAGATACAGTCCAGACGAAGCCAGACACGATCAGCGCGTCACTGGAGGCATTTTGTTATCAATTCCGATTTACAAATCGTTCATGGATTGACCCACTCCCATGCAATAAATTAATGGGTAATGAATCATTCGAGTATGTACTCGAGTTGTCTTTGAGTTAAATCTCTGAGATATTTATAAAGGGAAGGATGTATGAATTTAAAGAAAACTTGGAGAGAGTTTGCTATAAGGCCTTCAAATGTCTGTTTAACGAGGAGGACGGAGGTGCTTTTAAGGGAACTGTATACTTTCTAAACAGATGAACCTTGATTCTGGGAATTTTTAATGAAATTCCACCCAGAATTTAGATGCCACAACCTTGAACCAAGTAATTTAGTCTCAAAATGGAACAAAAACACCATTTTGCTTATTTTCAGAATAATAAATATTTTTTAAACAATAAGTATACTTTCTATATCTTTATTCCTTCCTTCCGTCTGCCTTGTGCACGATCTGCTATATTTCTTCGGTAGCTCTTTGCTCTTACCCTTCCATGCCCTACACTTGTGGACATGTAATCGCTATCAATGTCAAACAGAGTTACAAGTCAGCCCCCATAGAAACCAAAATCAAATGCTAAACGAACTGAAAACATACATATGTATGTATATACGAGCACAGAGCAGCATTACAGACCCTGAGAGAGTGAGCCATTGAACTTATTACGATAATGAGGTAGCCAGAGAGCGAGTGAGAGTGAGAGAGAGAGTGTAGCGATTATTGTGCAACCGCCTCGTTCAGACAGACACCCAAACAGAGAGCGTTAGAGGGGGAGAGAGCACACCATTATCAATATCCTTATCAGCAATGCTCTCTCTCTCTCTCTCGCTGGTACTCGGTGGGGGGAGTGGGAGTATAAATGGCGCAAAGCACCATCCATCGCGTTTAGTTCTTTGCAGTTCGTCGGAGGCATTAGAACCAATTAAATTTGCGCTTTTTGAAAAATCTACTTATCGATCCATTTCGACTGCTTTTTTGGATACTCTTCGATTTTCGCTACTTAACCATGTGTGGGAGTGCATAGAGCATAGTGGGCAACAAAATGGTGAGTTCTGCACAGACCCCGATAGACCCCATCCTTTGCTGAACGAAGAACCCGCTTGCAAAATGCCCCACGAACCGAATGAACGAATTTTCGAGTCCAGTCCAATGAAAGGCGGCTGGAATCAGCTTTTGCCGGAGCAGAACCAGTTATTTCCAAGCCAAAGTCGACGCGATATAGTGCCCATACTCGTACAGGCGAGCATTTACGATTAAAACATACAATCTGTCGCTAGGCGGTTGTATAACGAATTAATCAAACCTAAGCAAAAGCGTTTAAGCATTTAAAGTGTGCCTATACCCTAGGAACCAGATGATATATGTGTGCCAGTTAGGCGACAGGAGAATATGTACTTGTGCTTCTAGCAGGACTGTAAAATATCTTTATTTATGGGTTGCTAACCAAAAGAAATTGAACTTTCATACACATAAATGGGAAAACAATCTTGGTAGGCAATTTATTACAACAGATCGTTGTCAGGGAAAGTCTCTGCTGTAAGAACTGCAATGGTAAGCATCTTTAGATGCCCTGTAATATCATAAACTGTCTCGTCAAGGCATGACAGAATATCAAACGATGATAGCTTATGATATAGCAAA